CACCACCCCACCAGTGAGGAGGCTAGGAATGCATGAGAAGATGGGAGGGGACACAGCCAGGAGAGCTGAACCCAACTGACTAAAGGGATATCCCATCCCATGTGATGTCATGCTTAGCAATAAAACTAGGGGTAAGGGGTGTGGGTGAAGGTTGGCCAGGGCTGCCTTTGCATGGGCATGGCAGGGCATTGGTCAGTTGGTGGTGAGCAATTGTTTTCTTTTGTGTCACTTGTTTTTCTTTTCTGTTCCTCCTGCCCTTTGGGTTTTTTTCCTCCTTTTTAAAAGAAATATTAAACTCTCTTTATCTCAACCCATGACTTTTTTCACTTTTACCCTTCTGATTCTCTCCTCCATTCCACTGAGTTGGGAGGTCAGTGGCTGAGTGATGTTTAGCTGCCTACTGAGGTTTATCAATAGAAAAATCATTTATCTGTCTGCTTTCTCAAGCACGTAGGAAAAGGCTAGGAATCTATCGAGCAAAGTAATTGAATGTGAGCTTAATTTTAAGTGTTAATGATCTTTATAAAAGCATATTTGCACTAAACTCCTTACTTTTTAAATTAAAAAAAGAGAGAGAGGGAAAAAAAGAAAGGATTGAAAGGATCTGAAATTACTTTGAAGAACTTGCTCCCAAAATTGGTGATTAAAGGAGGATAAGCACTACGCTTGTGGCTTCAAAGGTCAGTCCTCCTAAATTTAAGTGACTGATGGATTCTCTTCAACAGAGGTGCAATTTTCCCCTGAAGAAATACTTCTTAAAGACCAATGCTGGCTAGCTGGTATTTATGAAAGAGTCCAAAGGGAATTACAAGTAGGTTGTTAGGGTTACCATTTACTTAGTGGTTTCTGCTGATATTGTAGCACAGAGAATCCCACAGCACTTCTTCTTAGCATGTGATAAATTGTGTGCCAGGTGAAGGTGAGAAAGGAGTGAGGGCAGCCACTGTGATGACAAACTGCTGCTTTGCTAGTCCTGCTATGAACCTGCTATTTCTCCACCAGAAATCACTGGCACCTTGACTGAGCCCAGCACTGCTCTCCTTGGTCCATGATAATATGCCTGTGCTTTCGGGAGTGCTTTAAGGAGGTGCTGGGCACAGGGCTACAAACAGCACAGTTTATCTTCTGCATGCCAGCATGGCAAGAACAGTACATGGATTTATGAAAGGTGGGTCCTGCCTGACTAACCTGATGTCCTTCTATGACAAGGTTACCTGCTTAGTGAATGAGGGAAAGGCTGTGGATGTGGTATATCTGGACTTCAGTAAAGCTTTGACACCACTTCCCACAGCTTTCTGCTTCAGGAACTGGTTCCAATGGCCTGGACAGACATATTCTCTCCTGGGTTAAAAACTGGCTGGATGTCCAGGCTCAGAGTGGTGGCAAATGGAGTCAAATCCAGCTGGAGGCCAGTCACAAGTGGCGTTCCCCAGGGCTCAGTGTTGGGGCCAGTCCTGTTTAACATCTTTATCAATGATCTGGATGAAGGGATTGAGTCCACCCTCAGTAAATTTGCAGATGACTCTAAGCTGGGTGGAAGTGTTGATCTGCTGGAGGGTAGGAAGGCCCTACAGAGGGACCTGAACAGGTTGGATCAATGGGCTGTGACCAGCTGTATGAGGTTCAACAAGACTAAGTGCTGGGTCCACAACAACCCCATGCAATGCTACAGGCTTGGGGAAGAGTGGCTGGAAAGTTGCCTGGTGGGAAAGGACCTGGGGCTGTTGGTTGACAGCCAGCTGAATATGCGCCAGCAGTGTGCCCAGGTCCAACAGCATTCTGGCTTGTATCAGAAACAGCATGGCCAGCAGGACCAAGGAAGTCATCCTTCCCCTGTACTCAGCTTTGGTGAAGCTGCACATTGAATATTGTGTCCAGTTTTGAGCCCCTCATTACAAGACGGACATGGAGGCACTGGAGTGTGCCCAGAGAAGGGCAACAAAACTGGTGAAGGGTCTGGGGCACAAGTCTTATGAGGAGCAACTGAGAGAACTCAGGCTGTTTAGTCTGGAGAAAAGGATGCTGAGGGGAGACCTTATCATTGTCTACAACTACCTGAAAGGGGGATGTAGAGAGGTGGGTCTTGGTCTCTTCTCCCAAGTAACAAGTGATAGGATGAGAGAAAATGGCCTCAAGTTGTGCCAGGGGAGGTTCAGATTGGATATCAGGAAAAACTTATTCACTGAAAAGGTTATCAGCCACCCACTGGAACAGGGTGCCCAGGGAAGCAGTTGAATCACCATCCCTGGAGGTATTTAAAAGACATGTAGACAAGGTGTTCAGAGATATAGTTTAGTAGTGGACAGGTATGGTTGGACTTGATGATCTCAAAGGTCTCTTCCAACCAAGTGATTCTGTGATTCTATGATTATATGACTATGTTTGCAAGACCCTTATTGTATGCAAGGCTCTGTATGCAACCCAAGTGATTTCCAGTAACTGATACAGCATAAAGTACCAACTAGTGTGAGAAAGAGGTACCTCAGCCTGCTTCGGTGGAAAGGTCTGTTGTTAGATATGGATCTCTCCTAGATTTGTGACTGGCAACAGGAGCTTATCAATACTGTCGTGGCACTACAAGAGTTATTTTTTTGTTGCATCTTCCTCTATTTTTTTTCTCCATCTTTATAATAATAATAATAATCTATTTTTAATACAGAAATCTACTCAACTGTGCTGCATATCTTATGTAGTTTCCTTAGTTGTTATTCTTATGGAAAAAATAGCACAACTGGGGGAAAATGGAGGAGGAAAAAGAAGTGGAACTATCCAGTTGAATAACTTCTAAGTGGTTGTTTTACTTTGATGTTTCACTACAAATGTACTTAAAAATAGCTAAAGTCCACTCCTAAATCATACAAAACATTACATCAACTGGGTATAAAATAAAATATCTGGTGGGATCTGAAATAAGTTTTATATTTATTTTTGATTGATGGTAAAATAATCTAGGTTGTTTTTGCTATACTCTTTCAGGACTGCAAGCCAGTTTAATGCTAATGATTCAGCTGTTATCCAGCTAAAGAAAAGAGAGTGATGAGGTTAAGTAAGGACACAGTCAACATCAGTTAATGTGGTGTTGAATGTGTTGCCTGATAGGTATTAAAAAGAAAAAAGGAAAAGCAACATCTAGCGCCTTCATTAAAAGAAACACAACAAAGTCATCCTCCACCCAAACAAACAAACAAATTCCCCAGAAAACCCAAATAAAAGGAAGTTCCTGAACTCTAAGAAAATCACCGTTAAGGCACTGATGTTATTAATGTCTCCTCTGAACTCACTGTTTATACATCCCTGCCTTTGCTTTCCTAATTTGGTCAATCTCATTCTTTAAGATGAGACTCAAAGTCTTCCCATTTATGTTTGATTTCCTGGGACTATTGTGGCTTTGCAAGTCCCTATTGCTGCATCTTTGGCTCCTCTCCAATGAGCAGATGTTGACCGTGGATGAAAATGTTGAATTTACAACTTACATGATTATCAGTTCTTTTTGCTGGCAGCTTCTTTCATGATTCTACTTTGAAAAGGAGAGGAGTCATTTCAAGCTTTTATTGTCTTTGGTGCATTCAGGTGGGTCTCTTGTTGCTTCTGTTTGAGTTGTAACAAGGAATGTGCCATGCCACCAGTATCAAAACTAGTTGCCTGCTGCGTTCAGTGGACGTGTGGTCAAATTAGAGCAGCAGCTGGAAAAGTGATGCAGATACTACCTTGGCCTGGAAGCACAACCCTGATTTTGGAATTGGGCCTCTGGGACTGTTTTCCAAGACATATGATGACTGGATATGTGAATTGAGCCTACCTGCACGATTTCAGTGGGGCTTTATTTTCAATAGTGTAGAGTGCTATAGGGCAGAGGAGTTTGGTCATGGTTTCTGTGACACTTGTAGGCTACAGTGTAGGGGGCTGTTTGGGCAGGGCTGGCCATAGGAAGAGTGGAAGTTGCCAGAATCACAGCCCTCAGCATTGCTGCAATGGCCTTGGCACTCTAAGGAGGGCACCAAAATCGAGGGGTGAAGGCAAAGGTCAGCAGACTCTCAGCATCAGCAAAAACTCAGCCCTTCATTCATTACTGAGCAACCAAAGTGACAATGCAGCCTTTTTCCACGGAGAATTTGTGGTCCTGTCCACTGTCCATTGTATTGATTTCAATGAAACTTAAGCACGTACTTAGAATTAAGCACTTTGCTTGGTGCCCTCAGGAGAGTTTCCTCAAACAGGGCCAAACATGTACTTTGTACAGGGCATCTTCTGACCCAGAAGGTCAATTAAAGCTTCAGAGGGACTCTGAAGGGATATTTTTAATTGTTCAAAGTCTTGTTTTGTTTTCAGACCCTGCAAAATAATCTGAATGTGTGTTTGTATAAATGCATAAGGGATAAGCTGGCAAAGGAAGGAGCTCACTATTCATTGCAGTTCAGGTCCTGCGACTGCAGAGTCAGACTGAGTTTTGCCATTGATTTCAGTTTGCGCAAGGGCAACCTGTCTAGCCACTTTGAATGAATATTTTTTTTTTTTCCTCACATAGAGACAAAAGTAGTTGGTATAAAATGGAAGTATTTTTGCTGATGTGATATATAACTTTATTGTGTATAAAATCATTTTAGTAGTTACTGTCTGTGGGGAAGACTTATCTATTTCTGTGCTACTTCTACTCAAAACCACATTTTGTTTGTGTTACTTCATCTGAGCTTAAACTGTATTTTTCTTCTTCATCTTTGTTAGCTATTTTCTTAATATGATTCGATGCAAAGTTTTGGTGTGGTGGTGGGTTTTTTTGTTTGTTTGTTTTTTTCTTCAGGAAGATGAAGAAACAGCACTATGACCTCCTATTGCTCTTAGGCAAGACAGGAGCAGGAATTGCAGCAGGAAAAGACCCTCCATCCTGACAGGTTTCTAGGCTGGTGCTCTGCAAACCTGTGCATTAAACCCAAGGGTATTAATGACTGTGTGCAGACTGAAAATTCAGATGTGCTCCCTCTCTTTTGTTGCAGGCAGAAGTGATTTCTGCTGCAGGTCTGAGAAAGGGCAAGCTGGCATGGAGAAAGAGGTAAGTGAAGAAAAAACATGCTTTAAAACAGAAAAATTAAGGGGGCTATTTCTAGCATTGCTATTTCATAATATTATTTGTAGTGTGATGGGAGGGAAGTCAGCAGACGCATAGGCTCCTTGATATCATTGACAAGTCAAGGGGATGATTAACGAGAGTACCAGACAATGTAATGGTAGGAGAAGGCCCACAGAAGTTAAACAAAAGTGCCTTCAGAATTTAGAGAATTCCCATGATCCATAGTAGGACCTCATTGTGCTTGTCTACTGTTTCTATTTTTGATTAGATTTATAAACACAGCACCACATATTTTCATGTGTCTCATAGCCCCAGGGCAGAGTGAGATTGACTGTGCTGAAACTGTGAGGCTTGTGAATTTCGGGCAAGGGATGGAGTGAAATAAGTAGTGTAATTGTTTTTGTGGAGTGACCGTGGGACCTCCTCTGTTCTGAATTACACATGGTTCAACCCTTTGACCTAACCAACCTCGGCAATGCCTGGTAGATCTCCTAAAGCTGTGCTGAAAGGTCCTATCAGTGACATGTTGGAACATTATCTGTCATGCGAGATGTGTGCCAACAACCATATTAAACTACATTAATTACTAGTGAGGCCATGTTTGTGACAATCTCAACTTCATTTAACCCATCATCATGTTAGTTATTGTTTAAACAGGAAGTACAAATGGGGACAATTTATGAAATCAAAATGCAGGACCAATGTTTTCTTTAATAAATTGTATGTTTTACTTTGTTTTATTTACTTTCCATGTTTTTTTCCCCCCAGCATTTTTGTTCTTGTCATCAGCTCTGTAGCTTGAGTTTTTGAGGGCTTTTGCATTTTAAGAGCAAGCAAGAAAAAGACTACTTATTAGTAACTAAACTAATATGCCAGTGTAATTGTTATTTCTTTAAATGATGCCACAGTTGACTGAAATCACCAATGTTTGTTTTCCAGCAAGAAGCAAATGTGCTATAAGGTAGTTTTTGTAAGGCTGAAAGATCACACGTGGGTTATTCGCTTGAGATACACCTTCACCGCTTTACACTCCAACTAGTGCATCTCTGCGTGGCAATGCTTGCACACCTCTGGATCTGGAGCAAAGCACGTGTTTCTTTTTGATTCTCAGAGAACAATTTTCTCATAGTCCTGTCCCTGTAGATAGCAAACCATACTATGAGTCCTCAAAAGGTATCCCAGGTAGTTTTCCTGAAACAATTTTGAATTTTTTAGTGGGAAAAGGTAAAAGCTCTGCCGTGTGTTCCTGCAAGGGCAGAGTGCAGGTTTAGTCGTGCTGAGCTATGCCCAATATTAGACTAGACACATGGGTTTCCATCTTCCACCTACATGCTGAGCTGCTCTTTTTTTGACAAGGCTCTTCCTTTAGCCTCATTCTCTAGCTAGAACAGGTTTAATTGAAGTGAGTATTTATTTATATATTAATTGCTGTGGACTCAGCTAAAAAATATGGTTGACCCTCCTAAGTGTCATTCTCATTAACAATGAAGAGTTTGCTCTCCGCAAAATCTAATGTGGTGTGCTTAAAGCAGACAGGTGCAAATTACAAGCTGTTTTTCTTTGGCTGCTGTCCCTTAAATAGACAAAGTAATAGGCTAGGAAAAAGGAAAATATTCCAGCTGTATAAAGGAAAGCCTTAACAAGGACTTAACAGCTGGTTACAAGAATTAAATGCTGTAAATACCAACTAACGCATTTGTGTGTGCTTTTGCAGAGGAATATGTTTTTAGTAAGGCTCCATCCCTTTTCATGCGAGAGGATTGCTCTTTGAAGACTGTGCTCTGCTTTATCATGAAAGGCTCATGCTCTCACTGAAGTGAATGAGAATAGAAGCCAACATACCTGTTCCTGTTTACCATCATTACACTCCTTAGAGCATTTCAGGCATTATTAGGTTCTTGGAGCCCTACCAGATTGACAATATTTCCAGTTTCTTCTCTTTTGGCTATATTCAAACAAGGCCCCAAAGAAAAAAAAAAAAAAAAACAAACAACCCAACAAACCAACAACAAAAACAACAAACATCCAGCCCACAAACAAAACCATGGATGAATCTGCTGAGCTAGTTTGCTGATGTTAGAAACAGTTGTTCGTATTAGGAACACCTAATTTAATTTCATGAAAGAGACATAACATGCCAGTATGTGTATTAATCTAAGGTATGTATTTCCTAAAAGGAACTAAAACTCTGTCATTCCAAAGTTCCTCTTCTTTTTGACTTCCAGCTTGCATAGGGACTGCTGTCTGGAAGCAGTAACTTTAACTTTAACTCTAAGGCTGCTGATGAGGTCTGTCTGTGTGATCTTCGTAAGCAGATAAGGGTAGGGAGACAGCTCAGAGCAGAGCTTGTTTACAGCAGGACAGAAGAAAACAGCTAGACATAAATGAGGGCTGACGGTTTCATGAAGCACAATTGGTTGATCACAGATTCAATATGACTGCCCTGAACTGAGCGATGATCCGTACAGTATGCAAAATTCACTTTCTTGCTGGTCTGTGCCCACCAGCCTTCCAGCAGCTTTCCCAGAGCCCCTCAGCCACGGCTTTGAGTGGAACCAGAGCTGAACGCAGCATTGTTGTACCCAATTCCTTTTGACAACAATCACATTCTTTTAAAAACTTCATAGGTTTTAGTTGTCACTGGTTATAAATGAGGGTTTTTTTCCCTCGCTGCTGCTGCTGCCGTTGTGGTTGTGGTGCTCGCTGCTCTCCTGCAGACCCGAGTACGGTGGGTTCTGGTGCTCCTGTATTTCCTTTGTTTCCACTGGAATTGGAAAGCAGGCGATGCGTTTTAATGACGATGGCATGCAAAAAGGCATTTAAAGAGTTAGGTCACTTTTTGAATGACATAGTGATTAGTTTCCACTGTACTCAGACACTTCTAACTCCCCTTGTCTTTGCTGTAAAGCAGCATGCTCAAGGTAAAAAGGTGTGGTTTTTTTTTTTTGTTTTGTTTTTTTTTTTTTTTTAAAAAAGTTAAAAGGCAAGCATTTTAGATTTTATGAACTATGGTGGAGCTTTGAGATAGAATGAATCGCTCTCAGCAGCAGCATCACCCTCTAAAATTGATTTTGCAAGAAAAGGACATCCCCTTTCTATGTGCTGGTTGTGGATGGACAGGTCTGATGTGTATTGTTTGTGGATGCAAGTTGGACCACCTCCACTGCAGGTGTAAGCCAACACAGCCTTTGTATCACTTGAGGCTCTGGCTTCAAACTGTGTAACTTTGCTTTTTTTGCCCCCCCCTTTTTTTTTTTTTTTTTTTTGTAGGAATGCTTTTTTACATTTATTTTTGGATAATGTTCTATAATTAGAATGACAGCTTTCTCTACAGACGTGTGTTCGTGTGCATATGTCCAGGTATACCCACATGACTGGAGTTTGCCTACAAATATCACGAGTGGTCACTGAAAGAGTTTAATTTGCTATTGGAAACCTAAGTTTTGCAGGTATATGTGAATGCATTAACAAACAATTACTTTAGACATAAATTTGCATAAATACATAAATTAATGACTAGTGACTAAAGATAAAATGAATATAAAAATACTACTGTATGATTTCCTGTTTATTCTCTGATAAAAAGTCAAAGTATCATAAAGGTAGGGGAGGGCTGGGGAAGGAAACAAAAAATGAAGGGGGGATGAGGGGGAAGAGTGTAATTTACACTGCTTAAAGGTGCTCAGGTGTAAAAGAGAGAAGGATGAGGAAATTGGCTGGAGATGGGTATGAAAGGAAAATGTTTTCTAATTTCTCCTGAAGCACAATGTGACAAGAACATGTGTTGATTACACAAAGGCCAATACTGATATACTCCATTTTTCAGTTCTGTTGAGAAGTAACCCTGGAAGAATTCCTTTCTGCTGTTGAAAACCAGGTGTTGTTTTCATTCTAAAAATATGTACTTGTGAAAAGAACCTTTTCAAAACCTGATCAAGTTAAGGGACAAGGGCATAATTTATTTTGAAGTTTGTTGTTAGTAAGCAGGTGTCACAAGCCTGTTACATCAACCACTTAAAAAATATTAATTTGTGTTTCAGGGAGTGAAGTGCTGAAGACTGTAGTTTATTGTGTCCCTGAAAAAACGCAAAATTTATAGCTAACTATATTGAAGACTTTAAACCCACTCAATAATGAACAAAAAACCTCAAGACAGACACACAGAGACAAACCAATTCCAAAACATCAAAACTCAGTATGCATCTTTATTAGATATGGAGAAGGATGAGGAATACTTTTCTCTTCTTGCTGTGAAAGGAGCTTCTGTGTTTCACAGGCTATAACAGTTGAAAGTTGATTATAATCAATAGGGAAAACTGACAAGCTGGAGACATATGTAGAAGGTAATGCAGATCATCTTAATTCCATCAAAGTTATGGATTTATACTGATTTACACCACTTGAAAATATCCCAGGATGTTGTTTTCTTTAGCTGTTAACATAAAATATAAGGTTTTGTGTGGTGATTATACACAACATAATAAGAATATTTATCACACAGCAGTGTTACAAATACTGCTGGAATTTTTAAAACTAAATTAAAATTTTATGGTATGCAAGAATGCAGCAATGCTTTAATATTGCAAAAGAGATATAATTCTAAAGATACTAACTGAGCAAAAATATATTTTTGAAACATTTTTTCAGTTGGCAAAAAATCAGAAGCAGGAGAATGAATTTCTGAACCTATTGAACTCCTGTCAAAATTATCATTAACTTCAGTTGTGCTGCATGTGGCTTGTAGGAATTAATTCTGTTATAGTATCTATTTATTGTAGCTTTCAGAAGGTGTTTGGTCATTTTTATACATATTTGCTTTTGTAGTAGGGTAATAGTCTTAATTTAGAGGAAATCCAGTGTTTTCAGACTAGTATATATATGTGTGTGCATACATACTCATATATATATTTGAGGATATTAATATCTGTATTAATCTGTCATTGGTATGGTTCAGTTATTTTTGACAGATTTATTGATTGTGTCTGCTGCAAGTGCTGTTTTTCTACTCGAAATTGACACCCACAATCAAATGGGAAAGATGGATGCTGTAAAAATTGCAATTTTTCAATGATTCTTGTAATTAATCCTTTTGTATTGACAGCTTCCAGGAGCAATGTTGCCAGGAGTGGTCTTTATCACCGGACAATTAAGCAACTGGCTTGAAAAAATAGTGCTGTTTTCAGAAAGCTCCATGTGACATTTGAAAATAAATGGGTCTGAACTGTTTTCTTACTTTGATTAATACTCCCAGGTGTGCTTTGTTTTAGATAATCCTTGCCTGCTTTGACTGTAAGTGTCTGCCATAGGGGTCTGTGGCCATGCATGAGCCCACGTGTGACTCTTTTGGTGCCACTCAAGGTGTTCTACCAAGGTGGTGTTTAGCATTTGGGCTTTCCTGACTGTAGTAATGTGACTGTATCTTCTTTTGAGCCTTGCTTCTACGTGGGAGTTAATGTGGAACTCATCAGGGTTTAGGTCCTCCAAGATGTCCTGCTCTTTGTTTTCACTGTGACTATTGTTGGCGTCTCTCTAATATTAAATGAACTTTTTATTGTCGTAATGAGTCCTGCTTCCCCTCTCCCCTGGGCTGTGATCTCTCTTTCGTGACGTCTCATCATAAATTGTTTTGGAGTTATTTTTATTTTATTGCCTCGTACGAAAGGGTAGAGCTCATTCATTTTTAGCTGCTCTGTGATGAACGAATACGTTGGTTATGTAAGTGGACCTAGAAAATAAGAGAACAGAGGAAGTCAGGGAAGTCTGTCTATAAATATGCAGCATAACCAAACTTTTCTAAACGAAGCACTACAGTTCTGCAAGTGAAATAAAGCAGTTGCTGCTGAATACATACTGTAAAAACAAGTCTTATAATGTTCCTCATTTGTTGAGGTTTCTTTGCATTAATTAAAATTAGGAAAAACCAAAGTATTTTAATGTGACCTTCATTTGGCATTTGTTTTAACTTTTCTTCTCCCATTTTATTTAATTCTTCCACTTCTGTTGTTCAATTAGTGTTTGACCCCTTTAGCAGAGATGTAAATTAAATGACATTTCAATGCCATCCCATATTTAAAATACTGTGTTAGTTGTGGATCATAAAGGATGATCTTCGTTCTTTAGCTAATTTATTCATTTAACAATTTCCCTCCAGAAGTTCCAGCAGAAGGCTCTGAAGCAAACTAAGCAGAAGAAATCCAAGTCGGCTGAATTTCTGATGGGTGAGCCTTGCTTGATGAGTTATTGCTCATAATTTGTGTAAGGATTAATTAACTAATTACAGACAAATGGCTGTGGGCGAAATTTTGCTCTTGCTTGTCAGGGTGCAATTTGTAATTATTTTAATCATTTATTCTTTTTTTTTTTTTTTTTTTTTAGAGTTAATTTTAACCTAATTCTGTTTTGGCGACATTTGAGGACGATACACTTGAGTCTTTCAGCAAAGGAATTACTAGAAGGAATTTTCTGCTTGTCATTGAAATACACTTTGCTATAATGTGCTCTTCTGACCTCCTTGTTTTCTATAGTAAAAGAAGAGAGAGCAGCAACAGAAGGCATTGAAAATCCAGCTTTTAACATCAGCAGCACAGATCTTTCAGCGTATCAGCCTTCAGAAGAGAAAGTTATTAGATATGACAAGCCAGATAGCACCCTTGCAGCTCACCAACAAAAACTCGGGCTGCCAGCCTGTGCTGAACCAAGAGGTGAGACATCAAACCTGATTAGCCTCAAACGCAACGACAGCAGTTGTGTTCCCCGTCCAACCTGCACACTGCGTGGCCCGTGCTGGGCAATCCTGTCCCGACGTGTCCAAACAAGCACCCATGCAAACCATATTTTTGGGAAATCCAAAATACTGCCAAAAACATTGACTGTGTAAATATTTAGAGACCCAGGCTCTGTCTCCATGCTCAAGTGACTCCCAGTAATGAGGGTGTGCAGGTTGGGTGGTGCTCCCCACTGGCAAGGAGTGATGGGAGCAGGCGCTTGTTGTAGCACTTCCTCGTAATTTGTGTTGAGTTGGGTTTCAGAGGCACCTCATCCAGTCCGAGCGCACAGATGCTGCTCCCAAGCATTGAGTAGCTTTAAACAGCTTACCAGATCCATGATTGATTGTTGTCCTTAGGTCTCCCATATGCCCTCAGTCAATCAGCATCTTGCATCTGCTTTGTCTTCCTTTATTTTTTTGTTCAGCCAGTGTTGCTCATATACTTGGAGCAGGGTCCTGTTTGCTCAGCTTTTCCAGGGGGGTGATCCTGGCTTTTAAGGTCAGCTTTCATACAGCACCCAAAAGAGACACTGCCTCAGGAAGCAATCTCTGTTTATTATTTAGGTGCCTTCACACAAGGTATGAGGATCTTCACTGATGTCTTTTTTTCCTTCTGTGGAGGTTTTGTGTCTTCTAACCTGTTGTTTAATTACTCTATTTTGAATAATTATTACTGCTGAATGTTACAATGAGTGGTTACTTTTTTACTTGATAATCTGGTGAGGAAAAACATTTAAAGGCATCTTGTGAGCTATAGGAAGAAAATCTTGGGCCAAGATTTAACATAAAAGCAAAAAATGCCTGACGTCAGACTCAAAATCTTCCTTAAATACCCATGGGAAAAAAAATACCTTATTGGTCTGTGTGGTCTCGTTAACTTCTGCATCCATAAACATTTAAATGTGCATCCAATGTCCAAGACCCTCCAAGGTACCTAAGTAACTGGTATGGCTTTGAAAAGTCCTGATCACCCAGCATTTCCCATTAAACTCACAAGCCTGGACACAACTTGTTAAGTATCCTTGTGTGCCCACCCAGGTATTTAAATGGGTAAGTGCAGGCTGGTGAGCAGAACTTCAGGCATTTGCTTTTAAAACATTGGACTTTGTTGTGTTAAGATTTTATCCTTGCAGGACTGGAGAGCCCATGGCTCCTAATGGCCCCTTGCAAAATTAGGTTTGGCTTTCCATTTAGCCTTCATGTGACTGTGCAGCGCCGCACAGAACAGGAATTCTTCGTCTTTCCTTTGCAGCCTGTCAGAACAGTGATTAAGCAGACAAAGGGATTGATTGTTTTTTAATGAAATAGTCTATCTGGCAAAAAATGAAGTCGGGCTCGCTGGAGACTATCCATGATTTCAGTCGCCTCTTCAGAAATTCATGAATAGTTCCCTCAAGAAAACAACACATTTTTTTAAAAAGCCTGAAATGTGTTTTTAAACATTTGGATTTTTCATCCTAAGTAGTATTTTGTTCAAAGAACTCTAACTGAATATAATCCTTGTGAAAGGAGTAGAAATTGTTACATCTTGCCTGGAATGCAATGCTTTGAATACACTGCTAAGTGTTTCTGTAACAGAAGAAGAAAGCTTGCTGAGAATTGGAAAAATTTGTTTCCCAACACTGTCTCCCTCCTCAACCTTCTATTCATCCAGTTAACCAAAAGGTCAGTTGTTCATGTAGCTCTGCCTCTAAGTCATGCAGCTATTAAAAAAAAATAAAAAATAAAAAAAATCATCTATTTATACCATCATAAAAAATTCTAGATTGGAAGAGACCTCTAGAGATCATCTGGTCCAACCTTGCATTAAATTATTCTTAGTCTAACTTAGTCAGGACTTGTTTGTCAGTCACAGGGGACAGTTCAAATTTATCAAGGGCTTCTAATAAAACAACATCTTCAAACCTGTCCAGAAACCTGGGGGAAAAAAAATATTAACTAAACTTTCTGGTACCTCATGAACTGATTTTTCTCATTCCCAACTGTAACAATACTTCATTAAAGAGGGAAAGGGAAAAGCCAACTGCATAGGTAAATTCAGTATCACATGAATGTAGTAATGTATAAATGATCATATTTCAGAGTTCTCGATGACAACTTGGTCTACAGGTTAGCTTACCCCTTCTTGTGGCAATCTGTTGTGGTAAGAGATTGCCAGAGCCCATGGGATCAGTTTCTTGAGCCTTAATTCCTTGCTTTGCTCCATGTTCATAGCCACTTCGTGTAGCTGCTGTCATTTCAGCTCATAGGAAAAACACACACGTGGTGTTGAAAACTACCACCATCCTCTAGCATAGGTGACACTGTTCTACAGCTTCCTCTTGCCTGCTCCTCAGGTCTTTGGAGCCACTGTGCAGCTCATGAGAAGTTTTAGCACAGGAGTATTTTATTTTTTTCATAGGAGGCAGGACTTGCACCCCACACTGGAAGATGCTTCTCTAGGAGGGGGTGCCCACACACCAGCATGGCTTGTTGCCTCAAACTTTGTTATGCTAGTGAGAGGGCACTGCTTTCTCACCCTCATGCCAAGCTTCAACAACATAACACCACCGTGTATTTAAAATAATAAAGTTTTAGGTCCCTCCACTGCTTCCTTTCACTTTTTCCCCCAGTTCTTTCCCAGGTGCCAATAAAATACTCCTCCTCTTGGGGTTTCCTGCCCTCCAGAACTGTTGGGTGCTCTTCCAGCTCTCAGCCTCCAGGCTTAGCTTTGGTTACTTACTCAATGTGGAATGGCATTTGTCAATTCTAACGTTAGATATTAAACTGTACGATCTAAAAGCAGTTATAACCTTAAGCACAATTATTCAATCGCAGCATTTAGCAGATTACAGGTTCAAAACACTATCTAAACATCAGGCTGGATTTTCAGGCTATGTGCTTGAAGACAAGGCATGGAGATGGCATTGCCTTTGCATTATCTTTCCACCCATCACTCTTGTTGTTAATGGCAGCAAATAATAGCTACAGAGGTGCTATCATTTCCTCCATCTCGCAACAGTGACACAGCCTGTTCCTCTTTCAGCAATTGCTGGAGGGAAGAGCTCTCTAGAAAAACCTCCACCTGCTTTTGAGATGCCTTCTCACACACTTCCATGCTAAAGATACTGGGAAGGAGTGTGAATATTCAGCTGTGTGTCCAAGACAGCCTTAAAACCTCTTCCTGGAATTTGGCTATGCCTGCACAGGAGACTGCTGTGCTGAGTACGTGTCACTTGGGGATTAAATAGATAGTGCAGGGGTCCATAATATTGCAACTTGACTGCATCTGCCCCCTAAACAGCGTAATTCATGAGTGTGCTTGTGCTATATTGACATCTCCATTCCCTCGGATAATAAAACATCTCCTGTAAAGGAGAGTTTGTGAAAGGATTCTTGTTTTCAAGAAAATGATTACTTTTTTCCAGTATTTTTTTCCAGAGGCTTTTTCACCTTTCCAGCCAGATTGGTGGGGTCTATTCTCATGACTCAATGTGCAAGGCTCCTGCATGCTTTGCTTCTAGGGAAACTGAGGGAGATCAGGAGGCTTTATTTGCAGTCACCCAGCAGGCCTGTGATGGAAATGGAGATAAAACCTGTGATCCATAGTCCATTACTCTTTTTTGCCATTCTGTACCTTGCACTGACATATTTTCCATGATAATCAATACTCCATGTTTTGTGACCATTAGTAGACTGTTGTTTAGGCATAGGCCATTGGGTAACTTTGCTGTGTGCTTTCCATCATTACTCTCATATGATGAAGACCTGGTACTGCTGTTTTATGTTACAGTGACCCAGGGCAACTGATTGACTAGTTGCTCAGAGATTAATCTCCTGATTTTCAGCCAGCTGATTGGTTGCAGCAGCTTCTACCCTATTTTCTTTACTTCTGTGCTGACTCTTTGCTGATTGTTCCTCTCACCTTCATTTCTTTCACATATTGCTCGTGAAATTAAGGTTGTCTAGCAGTGGTCTCGTCTTTGCCAAATTGCACAATTTATTTGCTTCTGAAAACACTCAGTTTCCTTGTGACTAAATCCAACCAACTCTTCTTCCTTTCTTCCCCTCAGCAAATATTGAATTTGCCAGAAGTTTTCAGGTTGGTCATCCAACAGAAGATCTAATAGACCTGGGAAAAATGTCTGGGGTTAGATCACCCAAACTCATAGTGACAGGAACCTACCTGTTTCTCTGTTGCCAGGCACCTGATGTCAAGGTGAGCTGGGTTTGGCTTTTCTCTTTTCTCCAGAGGGGTTTAAACACAAAACACTTTGGAGCATGAGCTAAAGTTCAGACTGGCTTGGTAAAGTCTGCCCAGCAAAGGGCTTCCAGCAAACTCATGATGGAAGCACCAACCTCCCAGGAATAGACTGTCTTTGGCTGACAGCAGAATACAAAAGTATTTGCTCAACCTCAGATGTTTGATGTACATCATAAGCAATCCCTTAACACAGAACTACTGTACTTAGAGTTTTGTCACAGGCCTGTAAGGCAAATGTTAATCTATTTTAGCATTTGATACATTTTCATAGAATCGTAGAATGTTGTGAGTTAGAAGGGACCAATAAGGATCATCAAGTCCACCTCTTACCTTAGCATAGGACAATCCCAAGATTCACACCATGTGTCTGAGGGCACGTGTTGGCCAAATGCTTTTTGAATGTTGTCAGCCTTGGTACCGTGACCACCTCCCTGGGAAGCCTGTTCCAGTGCTCCACCACCCTCTGCCTCAAGAACCTTTTCCTCATGGCCAACCTCACCCTCCCCTGCCACATCTTCCTGCCATTTCCCCTGGTCCTATCATTGGTCACCAGAGAGAAGAGATCAGCACCTGTCCCTCCTCTTGCCCTGGTGAGGAAGTTCTAGACTGAAATGAGATCTCCTTTCAGTCTCCTCTTCTCTAGGCAGAGCAAACCAAACAACTTCAACCTCTCCTAATACGGCTTCCCCTCT